CCAATAAAGAAAAAGTGCCAACGATTGGGCCTTCATGAACAAAGAATTACGAAAAGCAATTATGCACCGTTCTAAGTTAAGAAATATATGTAATAAGACTAAAGCTGAGGAAAACCCCATTCAATACATAAAGCAAAGAGACAAATGTGTGAAGCTACTTAGAAAAAGGAAAACGTGATTATTTTAAAAATCTAGATCCAAAGGACATTGCCGATAATCGTAAATTCAGCAAATCTGCCAAATCAATCTTTTCAGATAAGGTTCAAACTAACCAATCACTTATCGATAACGGGGAACTTATGAACGATGACCTTACTATTGCAGAAATCTTTAGCCATTACTTCGCTAATATAACCCAATAACTAGGAATTACCGAAAACAAAGCTCATTTATCATCAACAATTGGAGTAAGAGACCCTATTGATATAACTATTAAAACATATCAAACACCCAAGTATTAATAAGATAAAAGAGAACTTAGTTCCTTCTGAGCCTTTTACATCACTGTTAAGCCTTTTACATCACTGTCCTTTTACATCACTTTTTACATCATCAGCTTTGCATCAGCTCGAAATACTAAATGCAAAAAAGGCATCCCCTATAGGAAGCATCCCTGCAAAAATATTGAAAGACAATCCAATAATGTTTGCAGCTACTCTACAAAACTGCTTCAATAATAGCATGGATGAATGCAACTTCCCATCGAAGCTTAAAGCTGGTGACATTTCATCAATTCATAAACAAGAGGATATACATGTTAAGAAAAACTATAGACCAATCACGGTTCTCCAACCAGTCTCAAAATTATACGAAAGACCTATGGAATCTCAGATGAAACCATTTTCACTAGGCTTCCTTAACCCTTTGCTTTGTCGATTTCGAGAAAACTATAGTGCACAACATGCCCTACTGCGCTTCACTGAAAAATGCAAGATTAGCCTGGACGCCGGAAAGTGTGTCGGGGCTGTCTTTATGGACCTATCAAAGGCCATTGATTGCTTAAACCACGAACTTCTGATAGCAAAGCTCTATGCATATGGATTCAGCAGAAAAGCCTTACTGTTCATTCATAGCTATCTAGACATGAGGAAACAAAGAGTAAAAGAAAATGAATCCTTTAGCGAATGGAAAGAAATCGACAAGGGTGTTCCACAATGGTCAGTTCTAGGGCCTCTCTTATTTAATATTTACATTAACGATCTGCTTATGTCTGTAACAGACATAGAGATTTGCAACTATGCAGATGACACAACTCTCTATGCGCGAGACATTAACCCCTCACATGTAATTGAAAAATTAGAGAAAAATTCCTCAACAGTTGCAGAATGGTTTAAAGACAACTGTATGAAGTTAAATAGGGACAAATGCCACTTCATGACCTTTGGCGATCAAAGTAATGACTTAGCCATACAAATAATAGACAACAAGCTATTGCCCACTTGTATGGATGTTCTGTGGCAAACCCTTGATAACAAGATAAACCATATACACGAGAAGGCACTGCGTATCGCATGCAAAAACAAGGTGTCGGATTTTGATACTCTTCTGACTGAAAACAACTGTGTGTCCATACACAAAAGAAACCTGCAGTTACTAATGATTGAGATCTACAAAACTGTACTTAAACTCAATCTAAGCTTACAGTAAATTAATGAAAATCCCAAAAACTCGAACCATCACTCATGGAATCGAAAGCTTGTCCTATTTTGGATGTAAGCTTTAGAACAATCTACCAGAAAACTTGAAAAATCTAAATACTCTTAATACCTTTAAAGAAAAGATCAAACAATGTAAGGATAATTGCAACTGCAGGCTATGTAGAACCTTTGCAGCACAGGTCGGGTTCTTGACATGAATTATCTAACATGATTATTTTCAACTATTTATCTGATTAAATCTTAGGTATTTTAATTTATTTCTTAAATAGCTTTTATATCGCTGTATAATATTATCATTTTTATTCCTATAAACAAGTAGGCTTTAATTAGCTTATCTTCTAGCTACTACTGTAAGAACGCCTACTGTAAATAAATGAATTATTATTATTATATCATCATTCCTCTTCATTCTTCGTATATTGCAAAAGCCGTGCTATTTTTGTTGGAGCAGTGTGAACACTTACCGTATTCGAATAGTATTCATTTGAAAACAGATAAGTGTGAACGAAAACGGAGCGAAACGAATACGGAGCAATGTGAACGTAGCCTAAAAGTTGTTACGAAACCGTAGATTTCGATCCCACTAAATTGCATTTATTGATTTGAAAAAAACTAATTACAATCTAAAATGTTGTTCTTCCAGGAGGTCGTGTTTAAATAGACGAATCTCTCAGCTCTTCAAAGCGACAAATAGTCGGGAGTTCTCTGATAGCAATTGGAATGTGGTTCCAAATTTTGAGAGCATAGTAGTTCAAAAATTTCCCACGTGGTTCCAAAATTTTTCACACGCTATATATTTCTTCTAGGAGTATTAAGATCTCTACAGTACATTGTTGCTTAGTTTGATCGCGAGGATTTTTACTGAAACCTACCCAAATTTAAAGGATAACTGGTCATTTTTTGCGGTACAGAATTTAGAAATGGCTTTGAAAAAAGCAAACATTTTACAACATACTAAAAGCTTTGTCGTCTGACACTCCTCAGAGCATAAAACGTCAGAATCAGGGTCCGAAAGAACACGATGAAAAATATATACCCAGTTGTGGATCGAAATAAGCCAATCAGAAAAACGCAAGCACAAGACCGGTAAAGTTGACCAATCAGTGCCGCGAGCCTAAACCTAAAGAAAAATAACCACTGGAGTCCGAGAAAGAAAACGAACTCCGTCTGTCTACACAATGGCGGCTTTTTCTTTTGTATGTAGATCAACTGCTAGATGGAAGGACGACCGGGCTCTGCCAATTATCCGAAGCATGTCGTCATTATAGAGTTTTGCACAAAATGGGTTGTCTAAAAGATATTGACCAATGGCAGAATCACTTGTTTTAACAGTGTTTCTAGACCTACAATATCGAGGAGGCTGTTCTCTTTGAGCGGCAGTTTTGTTTCTTAAGTTGGAAGGAACATGATGTTTTATCCTATCCACCAATCTTTGGGTTGTGCGTCCTACGTAGGCTACGTAGGACGCACAAATAACTGGTCATTTTCAAATTTTCAATGCTCAACCATTTACCTGACCAGTTATTCTTTAAATTGGCGCTTTCGATTATTAATCGAACTCGGTCCTGCAGACGTTGGAAAGTATCAAATTTAGATTTTGGGAAGGCTACCCAATAACGTTAGCATACCGTAGGTGACTTTCGACAGTGGTGTAGAAGACATTGCAAAGTTTTTGGTGGAATTGTATTTTTTAACATTTTTGGTGACTCAGGTCCTCCACAAACTTTTCTTTTGCAAAATGCAGCCAGGCCCTCATAAAAAGGGTGGGTTTGATTTCCATTGGTATCCACGTTATCATACGTTTCGCTGTCAAAATGTAGCTTGAGCGATGTCTTCAGTTCAGTTAGAAAAGTACTTCTTTGAAGAAATGAACAGGGCAACCCTCGAAAAGCTACATATGGCTATCATGGTGTATTGGATTACCCAGCTATTGGTAACTAGAAATGACACAGCTTACTTCAAATAAGTTTTTATAAAGGGGTATTTTCCAGTATTCTCAAGTGCTTGGGCTGTAAAAATTATCGTGTGCTCCTCTTTGCTTCAAAAAAATTTCCTCTTTGCTTCAAAACCTTCCTCTTTACCTCAAGATGCCATTCTTTAAGAATATGCGGGAAAATTTAAGAAATTATAAAAATAGATTTTTATGACGTCGCACTTTGGTACTCGATACGTGGAACAGTTTCAATTGTTGTCACGGAATTATCCCCAGCAATAAAAGGCTGACAAAATCGCAAATTCAACGATGGTTGGTTTGATCTGCTCATCAGTGAAAAACAGATGTTTACAGTGTTTACAGGTTAGTGCCCTGGGTACCAGACTCACTATATACGTAAAATAATAGAGAGTCTGGTCTAGTGCGCTCCATTCTCGTTCTGGTGAACTTACTTGAAAGAACTGAAGTCTATTTAACAGACTATGCCTGTGAAACAAGACTGTCAGATAAATAACAAAGAAACTCAGTAGTCAGAGGAGTTTTGGGAAATCTCAAAGCAAATGTGTTTTATTAAGTTCTTTAAATTCGACATTTTTAATACAGTGGTAATAGACTTCTGCCTCAAGATAACAATCAAATCAGGTTTAAAACGCCATTTGGCAGCAAAAAACATGTGCGAAGCATGAAATTAAAGTTAGCACAATGCAGTTATTAAATGTTAATCATTATCAAATTTTGTATACAACTTAAAATAAGTCTTTTGTAATTTTCCTCATAAATTGTGTGTACTTTCAACGTCTACTTCCTCACTGTGAAGGCAGCGCGCTCGGACACCGTGGCGGTTAGAATCATCACGTTGGAAGGTCACCACAGCAAATATGGGCAATACGACAAACGTAGCCCCGTATGCCGGGCGAAATATTAGCTATAACTGATTAACTGTGTTTGTTGTTGTTTGCTCTCGGCGCCTTGCGGTGTTTCTTATCTACTGCATTTCACTACAAGGCCTAATTTCTTTGCAACGAGAGGCACAGCCTGAAATATCAGAGACTTTCCAAAGCCAGTTGGCAATATGGCGAAGGTGTCTCCTCTCTCTACAAACAAGGCTTTCAATGCTGTTCTGTGTTCAGTTCCACAACATGCGGAAAATATTCTTTGAGTACAGTTTTAACAGCATCTTTAAACTCAATTTTTACGGTCGCTAGCATTTATTTATGTTCTGTTCTGTTCAATGTTTTATACCAGAGCTAAGTTTATTGTTTCGCTGTGACCTTTGAACGTACAGAAATTTGTACACTCGCTCCTGATTGGTTAATATCAGCACACCAGAACGCGAATGTGGCGCACTAGACCAGACTCTCTATTTTATTTCATATATAGTGGGTCTGGTACCCAGGGTAACAGGTTAGTAGACCGATGGTGAAAGTAAATTAGATTCCTTCATTGATTACACGAGAGAACCGTGCAAAATGGAGTCATTTGGAAGCAAGACAATCGTGATTACAGGGGTGACCGCCGGTCTTGGACTGGCAATGTGTGAGTATTTTGTCGAAAGATCCCATATTGTTATTGGCTGTGGCAGGAGAGCTGATAAAATCGATGATATAAATAACAAATTTTCCAAAGAGAAGAGTAATTTTTTTTGCGTTGATGTCAGCTCAGACGAAGAGGTTGAAGAATGGGCCAAAACCGTGATCCAACAATTCGGTCCACCAGACCTCCTTATCAACAATGCAGGAATTATAAATAGGAATGAAAGATTGTGGAATATTTCAGCTGAAGAATTCGATAAAGTGATTGATGTTAATATCAAAGGAACTGCAAATTGTATACGCCACTTTGTTCCAAGCATGGTGGAAGCACAGAAAGGTGTCATTGTTAATTTTTCGTCTAGGAGGGGGAAAGCAGCATGCTGTGAAGTCGCCCCCTATTGTTGCACAAAATGGGGTATCGAGGGTTTATCCAAAGCACTGGCTCTGGAACTGCCGGCCCCCATGGCTTGTGTTCCTTTGAACCCTGGAGTTATTAACACTGAAATGCTACAAACAACTCTTGGAAGTAGTGCAAAGTACCACATGACCCCTAAAACATGGGCCAAAAGTGCTGGAGACCTGATACTGAGCATTGACAGAAGTTTCAATGGAAAGAGCCTTGATGCTTGATGATGCTCAAACAAAGGTGCACGATGGTTCTTTGATAAATATACTACATTCACTCAAGACTATTACTATGTTTGTGGTTAATAAAAGTTATTAAAAATTCTTTGTTCAGTGCACTTCAGTGACTTTCAAAATATCTGGAAATTCTCTTGACCAATCCACAATGCATCACTAGACAGAACAGCTCAATGTTAATCCCCATTGATAACATCTCCATTTTCTCATGACAGCAGTCAATCATTTCAAGAAGAAAGGTAACAAAACTAACAGGTAAAAAACCCTGCAGGTAAAAAACAACTTTGTAGTAAAACATGCGATTCCGCTATGGGCAGCATTCATTGGAACCCATATTATGCAAACAAGTACAACGGCGACATGTTTCGGATCATTGGCAGATCCCGATCGTCCTTCAATCTATCATTATTGGAAACTATCTACATAAACATGAAAAGACGCTATTGTGTAGACAAAGGAGTTCGTTTTCACCTTAGGACTCCATTGGTAACATTCTCAATAGGCAAGCGGCACTGATTGGTCAACCTCATCAGTCATGTGCTAGTGTTTCTAATTGGCCTATTTCGATCCACAATTGGGTATATTCATTTCCTAACGTAGAGTATTCGATCCATGTTTTGACGTTTTAAACTCTGAAGAGTATCAGACGAGAACAAATGTTTGCTTTTTCTAAGCCATTTTTAAATTTTGTACCACCAAAAGAAACCAAAAGATTGTTTGCAAATTTCAAGCAGACATAAAAGAAGATTTTAAGGATCTCATCACATTCGTTAAGCTTAGAGGTATGCTGAGGTGGGCCAGTTTCTCTTTATCCTTTCTTAGTTTATGGTTGCAAACAAATTTATTACCACTCTCAGTGCCGTGCCAAAGGGCTATTGTGTAACAGTGATAAGACCTCCTCAAAATCCTTGTCACTTCGAGTAGGTAACGAAATGGTTCGAGAGTGAACACAACTCGTGTTGAGGTTAATCACTGACTGAATTACTAAACAAAGAATAAGTGTTATATGCAAACGAAAGCGAGGTTAGCATAATTAACACGTATGATAATTAATGACATGCATTCCTACTACATTTGCATTCCTCTAGTGCCGTAGTGGTACCTTTGTGTCTGAGTTGGATATAACGAAATTGCAAACTGAACTTATGTAATTGTTTTTAACTGGATTGAAATTTAGCAGATTACTTGCAAAATACTCATGTTATTTAGTCTAATGATCCCAACGAAAGCGGCATTAAAAATAATTTCGATCTCTGGATGGTTGCCTCTTTGGCAGAATTGACAATAATCCCAAGGAGTCCGGCAAGTCCTTTTGTAAGCTCGGTTTCAATGTTTTGAGTAATACTGCTGTCAGTGTTGCATTCCTTTCTCTACGGAAAACAACTTCAATTTGAATTTCTGGTACAAAATTGAGGATTCAAATAAACTTGTTTTTACGACCGACTTTTCGATTTGTAAGACTTCTCGTGCTTTGCCATGGTTGCTTCAAGGTAAGGAGAGTATTTGGGACGTTTTGTACAATCGGAACGGAAGCGAATCTCTTGACGTGATAAAGAAGGTCATTAACATTTCATAACATCATTCATCTCATCATAATTAAAAAACTCTTAAGAAACAATGAGTATTGACATTTCCAGAACATTAAGAAGCTGGATTACTCAACATCGACCTTTGTTCCTTTTAAAAAAATGAGTGTATATGCTTCTGCTTGTTCAAAAGATCTTGATGGAATTTTGCGTTATGTTTAGATCTATAATCGAAATCCATGTCATTTCTACACTCTAAGCATTTTATCTTGTTTCGCTTTGTGCGAGCTCTTTGCTTCGGTGAAATTTTCTATCGTTAACCTTCAACTAAACTGTTATTTGTCAAATCGAGCGTGCACCTTCAATTTTCATAGAACTCCTGGCTACAAAGTAAGTCGTAAGCGGCGAATATGCCTTTCAGAAAGGAAGTAACATCTCTAGGCTTGCGTTTCACATAATTGAAATGAAATGTATTTCAGGAAAAGGTATTAGATGATTTCCTGATAAGGTTAGTCTATGCTACTAAATTGCAAACAAATATATTTCACTTCCTGTCAATTGATGAGTGGCTCTCTAAATAAAATTTAAAACCAGCTGTTCGGTTTGCAACAATTTATATGTAAAAACAAAAACGGTCAACAACACTTTCTATGCGAAAAGGCAGATGTACTCTAATTCTTCCCTGAAATACCGACTCGCTGCTATAGTTCTGTCGGCAAAAATTTACCGACGGCTTCTACAAAAAGTGGTGACAGCGTCTTTGCTTCTTTTGAAGCCAAATCTTTGCAGCTTATCGGTAATAAAAGAAAGCAAGATCTGGCATATTTATTGCAATGTGCATATATTTGCAAAGTGTTTCTGGAGCAATACTGCTTCGCCAATCCGTTTTTATTTTGTTGTAAGCAGATATAAACCTTTCAACACCACCAGATTGCGGTTTTGCTGCGATAATAGGCAGTCTAGCATGGGCGACGATAACCATAACGATAACGATAGGAGGCTTCATTACCTTAATGCGCAGGCGTCAGTGGAGATTCCCCTTCCGTTATCGTTCTCACTCATGGTTCTAGTACGATAGAAATCTGATGTATCGTTCTGTGACAACGATAGGATTCAGTGACGGATTTTGCTGAGTTTTATGAGAATTTTCAACTGGAAATAGCTTCATCAGCCACTGCATTATCAAGCCTCAAGTCATGCGGGTGAGTTTTTTGTTTCTCTTGTTTGTTTAAAGCGATTCATAATTTTATTTTCATGATGGAATTGGGCCTACCTATATTGTAAAGATTCACCTAGGCTGCAGCGATGAAATTCAATAAAAATTCTGCAATTTCGGTAACAAAGATTGAGAACTTAAACTTTTTTATTACTCTAATATTAAACAAATTCTTTAAAATTTGTGTCAAGCGACCAAGGTCGTTATTTTCTGAGGGTTTCGACCTTAAACTACCAATGTGGAGAAAAGGATTGTTCGTGTTTTGGCTGGAACGTGTATTTACCATCTCTCAAATTTTTTCAAGGTTCTAGTGGACATTTCAAATGACTGTCATTTGCCCAAGATGAGATGAGCTTTAATGCGAGATGACCTGGCAGCAAAATTTTGGTAGACGAGGGCTGGAAGAAGGAAGGCTGTGCAGAAAAGGAGGAAAAACGCTCGTGCTTTTCCTTTTGTTAACTGTGTAGTATTTTGTATATAATAACTCTACATTGGAAATAAATTCATTCATTTAAATTGAAAATCTCTTTTCTCAAATCGGAACTTTTTCGGTATCAGTTATCTCATAGTGCAAATATGGAGTATGAAACTTTCAGATTAAATTTAGGCCTTTTTGTAATTCCAACAGAAGAGGATAATCTTCGTCATTGATAACATCAAAGCTGTGTGTGGCAGCAAGAACTTAGTTAACATTTTGACGATCATATTTTATTTAGCTGAATAATTTTTAACATTTGTGGGGCATTCAAAACTAAACTTCCGTGCCAAACAAGGAAGTGTGTCATGCGGTAGACTCTATCGTTATCGGTATCGTTATCGTCGCCTGTGCTTAAACTCTCTAATACGAGCCAAGGCAACTTGTACAGCGATGAATCAAAAATGTGCAGTGATAAATTGAAAAATGTGCAGTGATGAATTTCTTCACTTTTCAGTTTAAAATACTCAAAATACTACTGATTACACTACTAAGACAAATGAATACCAACTATCATCGAGAATCAATTGAGATTATGGAATCAAGCAACGTGTGGAGCTCAACTAAAATCAACGTTAATAATAAAAATAATATACAGTTAATCACAAACGCACTTCATAATGCCTTTGAATTTGAAAATCCGTACCGTATGCTAGTTATACGACGTGGCAAAACTCAGCCATCTCAGTATGAGTTTGCGCATCCCTTTTTGAAACGATATTTCAAGTAGAGGCATCAATGCTTGCTGCTAGGTTTCATCAGCCATTTTCTACTCTTTATGATAACCAAATAAATTATATCTTTATGTATCTTAGGCACGATGACACTTGGGGACTGGAGGCTAAAGCCCCCCTTTTTCAGAGATAAAATTTTTTAACCCTCTTTTTTCTTATTTTTGAAAACAAAGTATGAAACAATAAGAGAATAAATTGTTTATATGCTGTTTGATTTTCTTTTATCTTTTTACTAACTTGTTCAGGTATATTTCTATTATTTTTCTATGATTTGCATTAATCTGAAAGATAACATTCTAGTTTTCATATCATTGCAATGTCTACATTTTGGATGTGTAAACCTGGCCTATTGAAAATACTCGAGACAAAGAAGATGCATATTTCTGTTCAGGAAGTAAAATTCTCTCAATTAATACAACAGCTTTTTGTTACTCACATCGACGTGCACTCTGAACCAAAGAGTTTTTGCGCATGATTCCTCCCCTCCCAAATTTTTCCTAAAAATCAATAATCGATGTTTCTCTGAGAATCGTCGAATTGTTTCATCTGAGCGATATAGTAAATTAATAAATTTTAGTCTGGGAGATGCATTTTTTAGCCGTTCTAGAAGGCCCAATTTCAAAAATTCTCTTTCGCATCGAACCCAGCCATGGTGGATCCTCATATATCACTAAAATTAATTCTTAGCCCCCCCCCCCTCCCCCAGGTTCAATTTCGCTGCGCCGTTCCCTGTATTACTAATGTTATACCGTTGATTCATATTCCGAAAGTAGGCTTTCAAGACTATCCTAATAAACGAGCATTAAGTATCACCCCCGGATAAACTAACAAAACTTATCTCCAACTTGATAGTAAGCGAAAACAAAGAAGGCGTTTATGTAGAATCTCTTCTGTCAGTAAAGGTGGCTAAAAACTATTTTGCAAAGCATTTTTCTGGTCAGATGTATACATAATCAGTATTAGCTGTAGTTAGGCTGAATTACACTGAAAGTGTCCCTGAAAATAATGTAAAACGTTTTTGTTCCAAGAGATCCAGTCAAAACTTAGCCACACCCCTAGCCACACCCTATCTGGCCACGAAAATCGGCGATTTACGCTGTTTTGTGCAGTAATGAAAATTCCTCAAATCAATGCTGTCACCCCTAGCATTGTTTTCAGCTGCTCTGGCCTTGTTCTTTTTCAGCAATCATGCACACAGCATTGCAGCTTCGTCGAAGTACTGGTTTTGAGCACGGTGAAATTTCGGCAAGTAAAAACTATATGAAACTGAGGCATTTCTTGTCGTGGTACCTACTTCAGGTGATCGAGAAAAAACAGCTATATAGAGAACAGCAAACACAAAATATATTCACCCAAGGTAATTTGAAGTCGAACAACCAAGATTTTAACCAACCAAACGTTGGCTACGCCCCGCCATCAGCCCTCTATGATATGAATATAACTTGAGCGAATGAGGCAGTTTTTGATGAATCTGAAATAACAGCAGTCTTCTAGTGTTTTAAGAAATTGATGCAAAAACTTTTTTGTGCACGTTTTCTTTATCTCAATCATCCAGGCATATGCGATACTTTTCTATTAATCTAAAAAGGGCATGTTGAGCACCTCCCCTGAAGCCACAAAGTGGCCTAAAAAAAATTTTGCAAAAGAGAGTAATCTGTTGTGACACTTGTCAGAGTTTACTGATTGGCGTGTAGTTTTTTGTTTGTTCCATTATAATTTTAAAAGATAAACGAGACATCTGCTCGCTCCAGTTTGTGCGGAAATTCACAGTTCTCAAATGATTTGTTCATATGATGGGTGATTACCTGATGGCAAAGATCTGAGACCATTTCATGCGAGTCGTTCAGTACTTGAACGCTGGTTTTTTCTGATTTCATCCCAAACAGAGGTTGGGTTGATGTAAGAAAAATCAAATTTATCTTCCTCCGCAAGTTGGCCTACATTTCATTTGAACATTTGAATGTTTTGATGGTTCTTGTACTTATTTATCGCTTGTAGTACTGGATCTTCTTGAATCACGTCCCGAGGGGTCCTATTTCTTTCTATGGGAAGATCTAGGGGATCAGTGATATTCACAAAATACGAATTAAAACACTTCGATATCATTTTATCCATAGTCATTAGAAAAATCTCTGGTCTGGAAGTCCTTTGTTTTCTCCTTTTGTTTCGCGTGCCGACTTGAGCCAGCCTATTCGTAGGTCACATGATTAAAACAAGTGCACAAACAAATTTTGATATGGCAGATGCCGATGTTTAAGAGCGCAGACAAGCCTTAAACTCAAACACAAAGCTCAAAATCTTTTTCACAGCATCAGCAGGTTTATCACATTATACTGAAATATAAATAGGAATAATATTGGGTATTAATGCAATAATAAGAAACCTTTAAAGACGATATATCGTAAACTTGTTGGCTGAAGGATACATGGAAAAAACTCGAAAAGAGCTATCGGGTTCAATTAAAATTTTATCTTGAGGCCATGTATCCTATTGGAGGGGTTTAGATTTAGAAGCTACTGCGCTGTATCTTCTTGTGAAATGAAAATCAGAACAAAAGCAATAACAAGATGAAACGTAGAAGTAGCGAAATAAAGTAATAAAGTTGTAATGACTGATAGTCAATCTACTGCTTTTGGAGCCACGACAGGCTCTAGCGTCCCAGCTTCTGACACGCAATCAGCATTCACAGCATCAGCTGGCAGTCTACCCAGCGAATAGTTTAGATATTATAATTTTTGTCGAAAAAAGCTAGATGAACTGTTAAACGACGAGATTTTTCCCGACGTGGATGGCTTAGTATCAGAGAACTCAGTTGTGCAATTTGCAAAAAGCACTACAACAAGAAAAGTGGCTGTTTCTTCAAGAAAAGCAAAGAAGAAACA